AATAATAAGAAGAAGAAGAAGAAGAAGAAGACCAAGAAGAAGTAGAAGAAGAAGAAGAAGAGTCCGCATCGATGTGGATTATATTGAGCACCAAAAACTGGCGCCAAGAAAATGTTAACTTGATTGCCAGGTCAACATCTCCTGCATGAAGCAAAAGCGGCCACATCAGCAATCAAATGTCAGCGTGTCTGTAAAAATGGGTCTAGCACCATATGTCCAACACTCTAACAGCCTGTAACCAGTCTTAAGACTTTACTTAACCCCGAATAATTGCAAATATTGCTGGTGTAAATTCAAATACTTTGATTTACAGAGGGCTTTTCTTTTCCTAGACAAAAAGGTGCTAGAACTCAGCACAAAATGTCCACACACAAAAAGTTGCCGATACTCGTCACAGAGAGTGGGACAGAAGAGAGAGCTTCTTCAGCACAAAATGTCCACACACAAAAAGTTGCCGATACTTGCCACAGAGAGTTTGACAGAAGAGAGAGCTTCTTTTTAATTTTTTTTTAATTTTAATTATTCGTTATCTATTATGAGTACGAATGGACGTCGATAACTTGATAAAGACTAGCAAGATTGGTGAAAAGAGAGCAAAAAGTTTCTGCAAACAGATAAACACATTGATTTCCAGACCAAGCTAATGAGGAGAGATAAGAAAACTAACCTGATCTGTAATATTGTGAGTTAGCGAATGTGACAGACTACGCTTATCGGCGCGGCATGTTAAGATGATGAATAAACTGTGTAACATTTTCCTGGGAATGAAAGAGTTAACCTAGCATGTGTTCCAATGGCGGTTATGTTTATCTTTTACACGCTTCTCGATTGGCTACATCTGGTTTTACCAACCAATGAACTGGAAGATAACAGAACCCGTGTTGGTTGACAGAGCCGGCGACATGCTCCCGTCTGCTGTGTCTTTAGGACTTCTGTTTGTTGTTGACTTGTTGTCAGTCTCTAGATTTACCTTTCTTGCGTGTTTCTTGGATCCGGCAAGTCGGGTAGGAAGGAGGCCAGAGAATTTTGAATTGTCATTGTAACAACTGGGTATAGTGGTTCTCTTGTTGTGTTGTTAAATACCAAAATTTTGTGAGAATGGATTAGAACGTCTAACTAACTTGAGTTGCGGCCAAGAACAACTTACGTGTTTCATCATTTCATTGTCATTTACTTTATCGATGCGGTTTTACGTAACTAGATATGGGGGATAGGAGGCCGAGGAATTTAGATTTAAATATCTAGCCTATAGTTCTGTGACATCTGGTAAAGACTTTACTAAACAACTTTACTTTTTTTTTTTTACCTCAATTATGTAACGTAACATAATGTTATTTTCTAAGATGCATGTGTTGCTTCTTACTCACTAGCACTCGACTTAAGCCTATGGATTCTCTCAGCCAACTACCCAGCTACGTTTTCATCATTCTGTTGTTATTTCGTTTGAGTGATTATGACATTATATGGAGGCTGTAGACGCTATAGTTTTATTAGAAGAAAATTAATAATCGACAGATAAAAAGTGTAATGCATTGAATCAATGGAATGACCTTATGTAGAGAACTGATGCACACACAAAAAAAAAAAAAAAAACACACACAAACACCAGAAGGAGCAATGTACAAATATACATATGCTGTGTGTACTGTGTTGTGTGATTGCCTGTATTGAATGTATGTTGACTGTGTTGAGTGTATGTGTTTTACATGGCCTCCTTCAGTATAATCAGTATATGTGTGTTTGTTGAATGTAGTGTGTGTGTTGAATGTGTGTTACTGTATGTATGTTTGTGTTGAATGTATGTTTCATGTATTGTGTATGTGTTAAATGTAGTGTGTGTTGAATATAATTATGTGTGTTTATGGCATTGTGTGTTTTGAAAGTGTTGCTTGTTGTCAAGTGTAAGTGCATTTAACTGTTGGTCTATTAAGTGTGTATACAAGGTATGTAAGTGGGTTGTGTATGTGTGTTGACTATGTGTGTGTTGCATGTATGTGTGTAATTAATGTAAATATGTGAGCTAAGCGTATGTCTGTGTGTTGAATATATTTGTGTATGTGGGTTGGTTGAATGCATGTTCGTATATATGTGTATGTGTTGAATATTTATGAGTGTCTTGAGTGTCTTTATTGTCTATATTGAGTTAGCTGTCTGTATAGTGAACAATGGCATGTTTCCTCTGTAAACTGTTTTCACTGTGGAGGCATTGAATGTCTTCTCAGTGTAAAGAATTTTACTGTCTTTGCAGTGTGTCATTTTGGGCCTGAGTGCCCAAATCTTAACTCTTTGAAAATATAGTTTATTCATTCTTTCGTTCGTTTGTTTATGTTTCTCCACTCTGGTGAATATATACTGTTTTGTTTGTTTGTTTGTAAATAACCTATCATTGTTTATTTTCTCTTGTGTAATTATGAGAACTCTATGAATCAGTAGATACAGTGGTGGTAGAATGGGACAGCTTGAATAATGGGAAAACTGAAGTAATGGTAATAATTAGATAAAGGAATTGTGCCTAAACGTGCTGTTAAAATCACTGGCATTATCTCTCAACAAGTAAAAAAGTTTATCTAGGTACACAGATAACATCAAATAGAAGATATTTTATTGAGATAAAGAATGGAATAGGACAGTCAGAAACTGCAGTTTATAAAATAAAGAACATCTTATGCAATAACACCTTGTTAAAGGAGGTTAGAAAAAGAATTCTTGCCTTATGAGTAGAACCAGTTTTAACATATGATTGTGAATCCTGGACAATTAATAAAACAAGAAAAACCATTTCCTGAGCCTTCAATGATGTGGTTTTTACAGAAGAATGCTTATAATTCCTTGGAAAGCCAAAATAAGTAATCCAGATATTTTAGAAGAGACATAGGCACAAAGACAGCTCATCACAAATATCAGAAAGGAAGTCATCATGTTTGGTCACAAAATCAGAATAAACTGAAAAATGTGATAACCGGAAAGAGATTTGTTAAAAGAGCGATTGAGGAAGATCACAGATAAAGTTTCTCGACAGTCTGTTATTGGGGCATCGAGGGGTGTTTGTACATAAAGTTATACATGCTGTTAGTGACCACAGATTACGCAAAAGCCTGATTGTCTAATATGTTAGGAATTATATCTTTTCTTAGTGGAGTGAATGTCTGTGGATATGTTTAAAATCCTATATGTGGTAACTGTCAGTATCATAACATTGTGTATGTACCTTGTGTCTCTATGTGTGTCTGTGTGTGTGGTGTATGTGTTTAATTATGTAAAGGTTAAGGACACTTTTCCACGCTTCAGGTGAACTAAAAATATAAGGCTAGATCTATGTATCATTATGTGACATATATATCATGTTTAGTTTGAGTGCATATTATGTGGCATATGTCAGCGTTTCTTGTGTATCTGGTGAGTTTGTAATGTATGTGACTGTGTATTGTTATGTGGCATATGTCAGGGTTCCATACCTATGTGTGTAGCATGTTATCAGTTTGTGATGAATATCATTGTTGAGAGTTTATGTGTCAGCATATTAGGGTTTATCAGTGTGTGGTAAAGTCTTGTTGTCACTGTAGTTTGTCACATATAGTTAGTGAGATATGGATGTCATTATTTTGGGTGTATCATTCTAGATAGGTATTATGTCAGCATGTCTCCTTTTTCTTCCTTTTCTCTTTTGCCTCTTTGGTTGCAGATTGAGATTTAAGGTTCTGGTCCTTGCTTTTCTTGCCTTTTCCTGTTTTCTTGATGAGACAATTCTCCGTATTTAGGGAGATATTCTCAGTGCTAAATAAGAAAATTCTTAGTACTGAATAAGAAAATTCTTGTATTCAGTGAGAAAATTCTTCTACTCACTGAAAAAATTATCAGTACTCAATTAGAAAATTCTCAGGACTCAATGAGAAAATTCTCAGGACTCAATGAGAAAATTCTCGGCACTCAATGAGGAAATGCTCAAAACTCAATGACAAAATATCTCAGGACTCAATGAGAAAATATCTCAGCACTCAATGAGAAAATTCTCAGGACTCAATGAGAAAATACTCAGAACATAATGCGAAAATTCTCAAAACTCAATGAAAAAATCCTCAGAACAAGTGAGAAAATGCTCAGAAAACTCAGAACTCATTGAGAAAATGATCAGAACACAATGAGAAAATGCTCAGAACTTGAGAAAATACTCAGAACTCAGTGAGAAAATGCTCAGAACTTGAGAAAATACTCAGAACTCAGTGAGAAAATGCTCAGAACATAATGAGAAATGCTCAAGAGTTTATGAGAAAATGCTTAGGACTCAGAAATTTTCAGGACAGTGAGAAATTCTCACGAATCAATAAGAAAATGCTCAGGAAGATTCAGATACGCTGGGCTTAAAGACACTTGTTAGTATAAGACAATCATGGTTGACAAAATAAGTTTAATATTTAGCCAGGGTATGCAGATGTAAGAGGAAATGAACATGCTGATAAGCTTTATCATGGCTACTGTTAAAGGAAAGATGCTGTATGGACTAGGCTGATATACTAAATCTTCTTTAAGAATTAAGACACCCACTACAAATCAAGTGATACCTGTAACCATGTAACCATAACCAGACTGCACAAACAGCGCATGGAAATGGGGTGAAAGAGTCCATGGAGGAAGCCATATGTGAATAATGAGTCAACATAAAGTGCTGGTTTCACTTCACCGCTACACTCTGCACGATTTGTTGAGGACAAGATCACATCACTTGTATACGGTATAGTTTAAGTTGTGTGAGGATGATCTATAGAATAAATAACAAACATTGTGTAAGTCTGTGTGGAATACCACCGTATAATCAGTATTGGTGTGGGTTTTATAGTGTACTCGAATTGCTTTTTTAGCAGATCACAATATTTTTTTTTCTTTATAGTAATTTTTGATGAAAGTATTTTTCGCAATAACTTAAGGAGGTTATCAGCTGAGCTACACTCGATGATTTATTAGAACATTTATAAATTGCCGCTGACATCTTCATTCCAAGAACAATGCTGTGTCGTCAGAGTTTCTCCACTGTTATATCATTGCTTCCCAAGAGCAGTATATGTTCTGTACAAAATATACCAAAACATAGTCCGGATATTATGAGAGGTTCAGTGTGTTTTTATAGTACTTCTGAAGTGAAACCCAAGAAAGCACCACAGAGCAGCCGGTACAAACTTGTGGTGGTTGGCGGTGGAACAGGAGGATGTGCTGTGGCATCAAAGTTTGCTTCTTTGGGCAAGGAGTGTGTTGTTGTTGAACCAAGTGATGTGAGTATTTCATATAACTTGTATGTTGTTGTTGCACTGTGTTGTTATTTCAAGGGCTGTCAGTATTTCTTATAAGATTTGTATTGTTTCAAATTTTCCATATTTCATATAACTTTTTTATTGTTTCATGTATTCTCAGTGTTTTATTTTACTTGTGTGGTGTTCTTGAGCAAAGCGATGTTAGTATTTCATAATGGGTGTGTGATATTGTTGAACGAATATGTCAGTTTCTCTTGTGGTGTCTGACTGACCTTCCCCCCCCCCCCCCCCCCCCCTTTTTTTTTTGTGTGTAACCCCCCCTCTCTCTCTCTCTCTGTGCATATGTCTCTTCCTCTGTCTAGCTATTTATCTCCCTGTTAGACAGCCTGAAACTCAATCTTTCTCTTTCTCTTTCTCTCTCTCTCTCTCTCTCTCTGACTCTATACTGATATACATGCCATATATATTAAGCTTTGGAAGTGACGTGTTCATGCTAAAAGAAAGGACCTTATTCACCTCATGACTCCTACTGGATATCTAATACTAAAGGACATTTTGAAAACTTGTTTAGCATTGGGCATATAGTAAGTAAAGGTCCTTTTTCCCCGCCTTTATTGTTGTTGTTGCACTGTGTTGTTATTTCAAGGGCTGTCAGTATTTCTTATAAGATTTGTATTGTTTCAAATTTTCCATATTTCATATAACTTTTTTATTGTTTCATGTATTCTCAGTGTTTTATTTTACTTGTGTGGTGTTCTTGAGCAAAGCGATGTTAGTATTTCATAATGGGTGTGTGATATTGTTGAACGAATATGTCAGTTTCTCTTGTGGTGTCTGACTCCCCCCTCCCCCCCCCCTTTTTTTTTTGTGTAACCCCCCCTCTCTCTCTCTCTGTGCATATGTCTCTTCCTCTGTCTAGCTATTTATCTCCCTGTTAGACAGCCTGAAACTCAATCTTTCTCTTTCTCTTTCTCTCTCTCTCTCTCTCTGACTCTATACTGATATACATGCCATATATATTAAGCTTTGGAAGTGACGTGTTCATGCTAAAAGAAAGGACCTTATTCACCTCATGACTCCTACTGGATATCTAATACTAAAGGACATTTTGAAAACTTGTTTAGCATTGGGCATATAGTAAGTAAAGGTCCTTTTTCCCCGCCTTTAGGCGTGTTAGGAATTAAGGGCTAGACTTATAATCTTATAGACAAGTTTCATGTGATGGGTCGTATGGTTCATCAGGCTGGAAGGATATTACCTGATATCCATTTCAGGTTGGGTTCAGCTGAGAGCCAGTGTCAGTTTTAAATACATTTCACTGCAGATTTAAACCCAAGACCTGAACTACATGACTGCAGCTCTTATATTTAGTAGTCTCAGCTAACTTTGCTAGAACTTAACTGCCAGCACAATTGGGTACTCTGGCTTATACAAATAGAAAATGGATGACAGCTGGATTAATGCTGACATTCTGAAAAGTTATTTGTTTCCAGCTTTATTTTACTGATGTAAATTGGCTATTTCTGGACCTGCAGTCCATAGGTTTTGTCGCCCAGTTACAAAGTTGAGTGCTTGGTGCGACACTGTGAGCTATATATTTCATGTGGGTGTGTGTGTCCGAGAGATTCATCTGACTGCCTAAAATGGCCGGTAGTCGATTATGTTCAGAATAGTGATACTTTTGTGGGTTCAGTGCTAGATTTCATGATTGATCGTTTGCACCAACAGTGACCTGTAATTCTGGTGTGAGACCATTAGTGTTGGAACATCTGATAGTTGGCTTATGCATTTTTACTTTGTGTATGCAATCTTCACAATTTTGCTTGGATTTAAAAGTTATTGACTAGTTTTCAAATGGGACGGAGCAGCTATGAGACGACTCATCTGCAGTGATGTTGGATCCTTGACTAGTTACGAGGACATAGCTAGAAATTGTCAGCTCAGTCTCACGGGACAGATTTTGCGACCTAACTAAACCCTGTACCCAGACTGCGAGTCATCCTTTAATTATGTAAATCAAATGTGTGACCTTTGCACAAGCTGTTTTTATCACCATATGTGAGGGCCTGGCTGTATCAGCGGGCCAAGTGGCAAATAGAAGCCCAGGTACGGTGTACACTGCGTTGTGTTGTCTACCAGTCAGATATTAAAACATTCATCATCATAAAGTGCCTAGCCACCTGGCGTAGGCATTCATGCATCTCCACAGATCTGTCTTTGGTGTTATAAATCATTTCCGCTGATAATATTATTCCATGCCACTGTCTTAAGCTATACATCATCATTTCTCTTGTTCTGCCTCTGCCTCTTCTACCAGTGATCTTTCCACTTGTCACGATATTTTCCAGTGCTTCTTTTTCCATCACATGACCAAATAACTTTGTCTCCTTCTCATTGTTGTATATAATATTCTACTTTCATTAGCCATTTCCAGGCAAACATTGTTGGTTATTCTGGCAGTCCAATGTATTCGCAGCATTCTTCTCAAGAACCACATCTCATTTGCCTCCAGGCTCTTCTTAATTTGTCTGCTCACATTCCAAGATTCAATACCATACAACAGAACAGACTCAGCATGACAATATACAACATTGGAACGGTTAATAAAATTACAGAATGAAGAAAGAGACTAGACAAAGGAAGTAGGCAGCAGGAGGCAGTCTATGCTTACATACCTAATACATGTCAAATGTATTTTCAAACATGCATATGTAATGGACGCATTTTTCTTCTTCAGCATTCTGAACTCTTGAGGTTTAGTGCTGCACATATCACCTGCATCCACTCATCTCTCTGGTTGGCTTTCTCTTTCCAGTTAGTGACACTCAAATGCTTGAGCTTGTGTTTGTAGGTCTTGACTAGACATTATCTCTCCATCATCTTCTTGGCTTGCCTCATGCTCTACGACCATTCATCTCCCTTGTGTGCAGTTTTTACCTCTCTGTTATCTGACATTATCTCAGTAGGCCTCAGCCATTTCAGTCATACGCAGTACATGCATATGTTCATAAATGCAAACATGCTTTCTTAATGCAGGCATACTTACAATTCAACATAATTGCCTATTAAAGGTATGCATACCTCTGTACGTACATATTTATGTACGCAACTACGTGGATAAAACATGGTTGGTGAATGTATGTATGCCTCTATGTATATATGTAAGTATGTATCTGTATACATACTTACATATATACATAGAGGCATACATACATTCACCAACCATGTTTTGCCGTCCCACACTGGTAAGACATTTCTTGCTAAATGCGACTGCTGCTTCATCATCATCTTCTTCTTCTTCTTCTCCGTTTTTTCCTCCTCCTTCTTCTTCTTCTCTTTATTATCCTCTCTCATTCTTCTGTCCCTTCAATTATACATGCCCCCCCCCCCCCCCCCCGCCCAACTCATTGTTAGTCCTTTGTAGAAATTATCACCAGTTGTGCGTTTTTATAGCTAGCGTGTTCTGTTGGATCGATGAGCCAATCTCTTGTCGCTCTCCTTAGTTATCTCTTACGACATGCACGTTAGGAAGTATTATCATTCTTTGCTTCGGAAGTCTTATCATTATTTGTTTCACTCACCGGTGCAGGATACACATGCGTCCAGCTACATCACAAACAGATACATGCATCGAATACAACTGGGCTTGATGGACTTGATTTGAGGTCAGAGTTCAAGTTAACATGAGACTTATCAAACAGGGCTTGGTCTTCATTAACTATTGGCAGTTGAAGCTTATTAGCTGTTTGTCTGTGTGCCAACAAGTCTGCCAATTAAGTCGATGGCGATACGGGAAATAGCAAGGGGAGTAAAGGCAACAGATGTGATTGCATTTTTCTTTTAAACGCCCCTTTCTTCTGTTCTGGGAGTGCAATATAACAGATTGGCACCCGTTGACTCAGTCTCTGTTAATGAGGGTGGCAATCATACATAAACAAATCTCAGAAACCCTCTCCCGCCCTATACACCAGTATAACACATGTAAACAAGCCCGATGACATGACACTACATAATAGGCCGGTGTAGTCCTTATCAGAATTAAGCCCTTATCGGCAACGCCCAAAAACAAAACAAAAATAAGCAGCTAAAGGCAGACGTGAGAGAAAAAAAAAACAGGCAGCTAAAGACAGGCCCTCGCTCAGCAGACGTGAGAAAAAAAAAAAAACAGGTCAAGACAGGCCCTCGCTATGCAGACTTAAGCAGTCAACGGATATCAATATACAGCACTGTCAGACATTGATAACATAGTGAAGAAACGACCTGTTGGAAGGAGAGCCAAATTAACCGCAACAATCAAGCATACCAAAGGGGAAGAAACATCACCGAACACCCCGATTGTTACCTTCAAATACAGGTTGAACAGGGTCGATTTATGGTGGGGGAAGGGGTTGGGGGGTCTCCGCGGCGAAGTAGCCAAGCTGTTTGCCTCGCGCTCTCAAGGTCGTGCGTTCGTTTTATGACTGCACCTTCCGGTTCACGAGTGCACATTTTACTGAGTTCCCTGTGTGTCGTCGCAGGAGCTACGGTGTTCGTGCTTTATGCGAGGCTGTCGTCATGCCTTCTAGCTTATTGGGTAGAACTGGAACAAGACTAGCGCCCATAGTTAGACGAACAACTAGAACTTTCCGTCGGAGTTTACACCAGGGGAACGAGAGTAAGTCTACAATATAGGTCTCGCACTGTATGCCCTATTCACCAATAGCCTGGCATGTGACCTTTTCATTTTTCTTTTAAATACACGCGTCTGTTGTTGCCAATTCTGGCTCAATCTCAGATCGGTAGGTTAAGAATGCTGTTTGTAGGTCAAAAGGTCTTAGAGCGTTATCGCCCCCAGTTGACATAGACATTGTTGGTGTTTTATGTTTCGGTCTAATAATAGATCAGTCAGTGTCAAAAATACAAGTGGCTTTGCGGATGGTGGCTTGACCTAGGGTTGGAAGAAAACAAAATAGGTAAGAAAAACTAACAGGGAATAAAATGTATTGCTTGGAGTCCCCGGGATAGGGTGAATATTTTTATAGATTAAGGTTTCTGTGATTTATCTGGAAAGAAAAAATCGGCCAGGAAGGGCAATGGGCATCGCTCCAGTTGACACTTGTGTGTCATGGTCTAAAATGTGCTCAGGCCTAACCCTTCACACACATTTTGCTGTATCTGGGTATGGGGCTGCCAGTCGATCATTTTGTCCCCTCGGAGCTGCTACCTAACAGTTTACTGCGCCATCCTCTCAACCTGGACGGGAGACCAACAAATAAGATCCTGGATACCGAGTTCAACCTCCACAGAAACATTATTATTAGGGCGCCCATATTGGCTACACCAGGCATGTGTAACTTGCAGTCGTATGCAGGAAAGGACTAGGGGCTGTCCTTACCTGTATGTTTATCGGCGACTGGATCGCCCATTGGTTTGCCGGTAGGCGACTTCGTCGACGGTCTGGATAATATTTGGGTCTGCCTTTTTTGATCGTAGTGGTGTCAGAGGCCTAGACGTTGCGAGTCTACTCGCTGTGTAATTGTTATTACGTAATGCGATCGCGAAACCCAGCCCATAATGATACTGGCATGTCGTGGGGATTTTTCCGTAATGCCCGATGCACCTAAATCTTGTGCCGATTAGTCTGAAAAAAAGAATGCTCTTACCTCTATGCCCGAACGTAAAAGCGTTAAAAAGGATCACTTCTTTGGTGGCAACACTCTTGGTGGCGAGCAGTGTTGATTATTTTAAGTGGCGCATTTAATCTAGTCACAGTTATAACCAGAAGCTTCCCTTCGGAGATGCTGGTTAAACCTGACGATTGTTTTCTCCGCAAAACATGAAAGGAAGGACGGTTTTTCTAACCTCTTTGCATCCGTAGACCAGCAAAACAGGGGACATGGTTTCCTGAACCGCCTGACGGATAAAACTACATAGACGGCAGTTTTATTTCCTAAATCCGATATCATAAAACTACAATTGTTCAGCTCGCGTGGCATCTTCCACTAGCTGGAGCAGTGGCTTTCAACATAGGGGGTGGGGGGCGCCCCAAAGAGGCGCAAGAAATTTTCAAGGAAAGGGTAAGAGGGGCGTCAAACAATTTTGAAATTGAGTGCATTAATAATTGTAATAATGTGTCATACTAACTTTTTTTTTTGAAGATTCATTCTGAATTAATTGTTTTTAATATAAAGCTAAACGCGTTATAAAGGAAACGATATGTTTGTTTTTATAAAATTTGGAGATACGTCTGCTGTAAAAATTCGAATTAATAGTATAACACATGCTTTTAATATAGAGTTAGACCACAGACAGACCAGAACGTGTATTCATTTTTTATTTGTTACTTCTTGATATATGTATTTGCACAAAAAGGAGGAAAAGGGGGGGGGGGGGCACCTGATAAAAGTTTAAAACCACTGGTTGGAGGTTACAGATGTATGCAGTAGTATAGTGTCGAAATCATGTTGCTATTCTAGAAAAAGTCTACTGAGGTACAAATCATTTCAAAAATGGAGATCGTCACGGGCCAGAGACACGAGCCCGATCAGTAGTTATTCACTGGCCGCTTGGTACACGCCCTGCCGACCACCAGTTGAGTAGCCATGCTCTACATGACGATTAGGCAGTTTGGTAGATCACCAAGACGCGGTTCTTTTAATTTATTTCACCCTTCTCGCGGACTCACGATATTACGTAGAGAATACCCGGGAAATTCCAAGTGTAGGGATGATAGGGTGTGAAATGAATACCGCCTAACGATAACCCTAACCATGTGTACTATTCGACTTTCCCGCTAATTCCCTACGAAGTCTCGAAGCCTAGGAGATGGGTGAAAGTAAAATAAAAGAACCCAAGACACACCCCTGGTTGAAAAACCCTGATAATATAAAACACAGTAGCCGTATCTAATAATTAAACACGATGGCCTGTTTCCAGTCACATGCTTGTAACCATATGAAACACTGTTGTCCCGGTCAGGATATTTGACACCAAACTCGCCAGCTGCCTGTATACGCGCGCGGGCACACACACAAATGATACATGATGTACAGTCAGACGTATCTGTGTTTGAAGGACTGATTTGCCATGACTAGAGTATAGTGGCTAAATATACCTTTTTCCTTGCCTTTAGGTGTATTGGGTATATAGGGCTAGAGCTTTTTTTTTTAGACCATCGGCATTTAGTGGGTGATGTGATCAACACCACACCGACCACATTTACTACCTACGATTTTACCTTGTACCCACTTAAGGCTGGGTCTACCTGGCAGCCAAAGTTGTTTGTTGTTGAAGAAAATAGTTCGGAACCGTTCAAATTATAACCCACGACCTTCTAATCAGCAGGTGAGCATCTGGACGCTATACTGCGGCGGGTCCCAGAGTATAGTGACTTCCCGTGCCGAAATCTGAAGCTTGTATGTGTGTGCTCTCAGTTCGTTTCTTCCTAAATACTCCTAGAAATATCTTGTCTGCTGCTATTGTGTTTTTAGGTTAAACAAGTAATGAAACACACCAGGAAACAGTTTAATAAGATCCCCTTATTGTGCCAGTGCGAATGGGGCACATGATGCTAGCCATCTGAACTGAGTGGGTTGAGTTGAGTTGATTCAAGAACCGACAGTACAGCACTTGGGGCATTCCCATCAGCGCTCCGTCCCCATCTTCAACAGCCAGCTCAGAGTTTCAATACTAATGACGCAACTGTGTGGGTGATGTGAAAGCAGTTTAATACAACACTAACAGTGGCTAAGATACCTAACTAAGGGAAATGAGATGATACACACAATATGATATCAGCATGCATATGTTAGGTACTCATACATTTGCTTCCTAGTCTCTAGACCGCAGACCATTCAGTATGTCTGCCATGTCCATACTTCTCCCTCTGTCAGCCAATGCAGACACGGCCAATCTGATGGCTGTTTTATTTCACTCCCGCATGTCCTGGTGTGCAAGATAGTTTATTGACGCAGGACTTCTTGATGCTTTCAACCCATTCTAGTTAGTTTTTGCCAGTTTCGATCTTGGACCTTAGATCTATACTTCCTGCTGGCCCCTAAAGCCACAACCTGTAATGTAATTTTTCTTCCTTTTCTTTATGCCCAGTTGCGCTTTTCAGAGTCAGGTTCTAAAGAGAGATCTGGTGTGTGTTTGGTGTGTGTTAGGTAACTGCTGGTATTCACAGCCTCAGATATTGCATTTAACAAAGACTTGCATGAGCGATCTCAGTATACAGAGGTGAGGTTAAGAAGTCATTGCGAAATGTGATGACTTCTGGGTGAGCCCAATACCAGAGTGCCATGAGTTGGCTCTTCTTTTGTGAAAAAAGCATAACCACTCATAGCCAGAGGGGCATAGGGGCTAGATGCTCTCTCCAGTCCAAAGGTCTTATATTCAAATCTGCATTTTTCTATAAAAAAATACCAAGGTTGACCCAGCCTAAAATGGATGCCAGGTAAAGTCCTTGGAAGTAAAAGTGGCTGGCATGATGTTGACCACGTCACCCGCCCTACTGGAGTGAACGGGGTCTAAAATATAGAACCGCTCATGTCAGTCCACAGACAACTTAGTAAAGATGATTGTTGATGTCTCTGCTCACATCCAGTTATATGTACTTTTTTCCACAGCTTCATTACTATCAGCCCCTGTGGACCCTGGTGGGTGCAGGACTCAAGGGATTCCGGTTATCAGTACAGCCCATGAGAGAAGTTCTACCAAAGACTTGCGATTGGATCAAAGAAAAAGCTGTCACGTTCAACCCTAAAGAAAACTATATTGTATTGGAGTCTGGAGCAAAAGTATGTTTCTACTTCTTTTCTTTTTTTCATTTATTTTAGAGTATGTCTTCTAGAGTGCAGCTTTATTAATGCATGATCAGATATTTTCAGATATCTTTTATAATATGCTATCCATAAAGTACTTCTCACACACAAAGTACTAAATGCAATGCAGTGTCTTAAAAATTAAGTGGGAAAGACAGCAGAGCTTGTAAACAGTTAATGATAACCGGAATCAGAAATAAATAATAGTTAAAGTTAAAAGGATCCACTTTATTGCAATGAGTCTGTCTACAAATACATTTCCTTGTGATCATATGTGTGATATATAACCTGACGGTTTCCACAGATTGAGTACCAGTATCTAGTAGTGGCCATGGGGATCCAGCTCGACTATGACAAGGTTGGTAGTGATGTATATGATAGTTTAGTATTAGAAGATGGTTGTTACATTGTAGTTAGGTATTACAATATGATGGTTAATGTTTTATATCATTATTCAGTGTTAGAACATGGTGGGTACTGTTTTATATCATAATTCAGTTTTAGAACATGGTGGGTAATGTTGTATATTATAGCTCAGTGTTAGAACATGGTGGGTATTGTTGTATATCATAGCTCAGTGTTAGAACATGGTGGGTATTGTTGTATATCATAGCTCAGTGTTAGAACATGTTGGGTAATGTTGTGTATCATAGCTCAGTGTTAGAACTTGGTGGGTAATGTTGTATATCATAGCTCAGTGTTAGAACATGGTGGGTATTGTTGTATATCATAGCTCAGTGTTAGAACATGGTGGGTATTGTTGTATATCATAGCTCAGTGTTAGAACATGGTGGGTAATGTTGTGTATCATAGCTCAGTGTTAGAACATGGTGGGTAATGTTGTATATCATAACTCAGTGTTAGAACATGGTGGGTATTGTTGTATATCATAGCTCACTCAGTGTTAGAATATGGTGGGTATTGTTGTATATCATAGCTCAGTGTTAGAACATGGTGGGTATTGTTGTATATCATAGCTCAGTGTTAGAACATGTTGGGTAATGTTGTGTATCATAGCTCAGTGTTAGAACATGGTGGGTAATGTTGTATATCATAACTCAGTGTTAAAACTGTGTTGAAACTGCAAAGTCAGCTCGTGGGAAGTACTAATCTTTAATCATATATTGCAGGTGAGAGGTGCTCTGGATGCCCTAGAGAATGATCCAGTGGTTGCTTCCATCTACCATCCAAAGTGGGTCCACAAAACATTTCCGGCTCTCCAAGAGTTTAAAGGAGGCAATGCCGTCTTCACCTTTCCCAACACACCTATCAAGTGTGCTGGGGCCCCTCAGAAGATCATGTATCTCTCAGATGAGATCTTCAGAATGGTAAGTGTTTGAATCAAACAAATGAATAAATAAATGGTTGCAAACTGAGCATTCAGGCCCTTCTTACACCCTGTCTTTCCACACACTCCTCTTACACAGCTGTTGTATTTTATATGTTAAACATATTATATCCACCGCATATTCATTATGCATGGACATTATCTAAAGCCCGTTTATGCAAAATCACCAGCTGAGAGATGCCTGAGAAGAGGCACCAACTTAGCCATCAGAGATCGAGTGAATAATGGTATTATCAGACAGATTGGGAGAATGACACCTTGCACTAGGTTCATTAAGAAACAACTACAAATGGTCTGTCATCTCGTTGCAGCAACGTCAAATACCATCACTGGGACTATATCTTAAAAGATCAGCTACAAGAGCAAAAGATGACCACGAAAAAATGGAAACAAACAACATAAAATAAACTGTACACCTTTACAACGTGACAGTAGCCGGTGCCAGCCACAGTTCATTAGATCACAAATTATTCCTCCCTACGATGCTTAATGGCAGAAGCGGTTTATGAAGATGATAAAGATATATCCATAGAGCGGTATAAATTTTATGAATATATTAAGTTAAAACACAAAAACACTATTGGCAAATGCATACATTCAAATATACATAATCACGCATGATTGGCCATGTATACATAAGTAGATAGATCAGGTATATTCAGATTCGGCCCACAGAGGCCCATCAAGTGGCCTGCGGATCAATGAAAATTGTTTTATAATGATCTTACTATGTTGGGGATCAATGAAAATTGTTTTATAATGATCTTTCTATGTTGGGGTTGGGCCTCGTGCCCGTGATCATCCTGTTTTGAACCGTTTGACCCATGAGTAAATTTAGATGAATAGCCTTGGTATAGATGACACACACACACACACACACTCTCTCTCTCTCTCTCTCTCACACTCAGCACACTCACACACATATATTTATTTGTCAGATTAGATCTTTCATCGTTCATCTAATCTTTTTTTTTTTAAATGACATATTATTAGTTAAGGAAATGTAAACAGACATCGTAGCACTGATGACATTCCTATAAGTGCTTTGTCCTCACCTTCAGCAGCCAACACAGAGTTCTAGTTCTTGTCTTTCCTCTGAATGCTGAGTGTCAGCTAGATTGCCTGGTCACTGCACGTGGCACCATTCTCTTCAGACCATGATGACCTGTTTGGCCTCCACACTGCTAACTAGCAACCAAAGGGCCGTGACCACATCTAGATTGCCATGCATTAGTTTACCACCCATAAGTGCAGAACCAGCTAATTTGTATGCCTGTTTGTCCCCCCCCCCCCCCCCCCCCCCCCCCCCCCCCCCCCCCCCCCCCCCCCCCCCCCCCCCCCCCCCCCCCCCCCCCCCCCCACCTGCATTCACTGCAGAAAATATGCAGAGAATGCTATCTATCTAAAACCTCTAAAAAAGCGATGCTGTTTGACCTGACTTTCCTTGCTCCTGTCCTCCTGTTTCTATGCTTTCATCTGTCTCCATTTCCTCCTCCTCTTCTCCCCACGCTCCCTCCATTGCCAGCTAAGAATGATATTGAGCACAGAACATTCACTGCATAGCTCCTGCAATAATTTAAGTGTATCCATTTGAAATTGAAACAGTATTCCAGAAATTCATTCAGCAATCAAAAGTGCCTGATTTCTGTTTCTGCCTGTCTACAGCTGGATGTCCGAGACAAGACAAGTGTGATCTATAACACTGCACTGGGTGTTATATTTGGTGTGAAGAAATATGCTGATGCTTTGTTGAAAGTTGTAGATAAAAGGTAAGTAGTAGACAATTTATGTAATAAAACCCAGTCACTGGAGGTCAGGAAAGGAAATTTTGCAGGCTTAATTGAATCAATTGGTAAACAAGGCTGACAGTTTGGCTAGTTTTACACTACTTGACTTGATGTCTGACACGATGGATGCGATCAAGGAACTCAGGGAGCAAGTGAACTTTGCAGAAGCATGAAAAGATCATTACAGACTGAAGGGAATGGTGTAGCAGGGAGTGAGTCACTAAGGGATCTGGTCGACACTCTGCACTCAGAGGGAAGGCTTGGTGACACTCTGCACTCAGAAGGAAGGCTTGGTGACACTCTGCACTCGGGAATGCTTGTTGACTCTCTGCACTCAGAGGGAAGGCTTGGTGACACTCTGCACTCAGAGGAAGGCTTGTTGACTCTCTGCACTCAGAGGGAAGGCTTGGTGACACTCTGCACTCAGAGGGAAGACTTGGTGACACTCTGCACTCAGAGGGAAGGCTTGTTGACTCTCTGCACTCAGAGGGAAGGCTTGGTGACACTCTGCACTCAGAGGGAAGACTTGGTGACACTCTGCACTCAGAGGGAAGGCTTGTTGACTCTCTGCACTCAGCGGGAAGGCTTGGTGACACTCTGCACTCAGAGGGAAGACTTGGTGACACTCTGCACTCAGAGGGAAGGCTTGGTGACACTCGGCACTCAGAGGGAAGGCTTGGTGACACTCTGCACTCAGAGGGAAGACTTGGTGACACTCTGCACTCAGAGGGAAGGCTTGGTGACACTCTGCACTCATAGGGAAGACTTGGTGACACTCTGCACAGAGGGAAGACTTGGTGACACTCTGCACTCAGATGGAAGGCTTTGTGACACTCTGCACTCAGAGGGAAGACTTGGTGACACTCTGCACTCAGAGAGAAGAGTTGGTGACACTCTGCACTCAGAGGGAAGACTTGGTGACACACTGCAACTCAGAGTGAAGGCTTGGTAACACTGCACTCAGAGGGAAGACTTGGTGACACTCTGCACTCAGAGGGAAGACTTGGTGACACTCTGCACTCAGAGGGAAGGCTTGGAGAACATATAAGCTGCTGTCAGTACTATCAGAATTGAAACTGGCTGCTAAAGATGAGGCAAGGAACCATCAGTCTGTATATAAATAAGCTACATCAGTCAAATGGGTGCACATGCAAAAGGACACATTTCTGAAACAAAGCCAAAGTCAAACAAAAGCAACTGTAAATTAGTTGGTTCATAAAACTGGGACTTAAAGATGATGTCAGTGCAATGAGCTGTAGTCAAGAGATGACAGGATTAAGAGAAAGATATCAGTGAGTGGCCCCAGTCTTTAGAAGCTTGTGTTTCCTTCATATCCGGAATGTATCTGCTTGAGAGGCAAGGAACCAACAGTCTGCATACACATAAGCCAGGCCTGTTAAACTGATGTGCATGATAAGCTCAAGTTCTGGAATAATTCTAAAAGTCCAGAAGTAGACGAACAATGAGAACTTTCTGTCAGAATTAACAGTGGGTGAACTGAAGAAGAAGAAGCTTCTGTAGCTTGTCATGTGGTTTCATGAACATGAGGAGTCAGATATAATACAGGACCCTTTTCACACCAGCTGCACATCAAGCATAAGATACCAGATTTGTGTTGTTATAGACCGATCAGCACTTAATGTGGGATGTGGTCAACATCATGCTGACTGCCTTTACCTCCCAGGATTTTACCTGATGTCAGATGCTTCAGAGGCCCTGGGTAGTTAGCGTAGCGTCCCTTGGATATTTTCTCCAAGTTGTGCTAGTGTGTTTGGAAATGAGAAGAGAGATAGACTGGCCGGTTCTGCACGACTTGGTGGTGATGTATGAAAGCTAGATATTGTGAGGACCCTTTGGAGGTGAGTGAACAGTGTGCAGGCACAGTCATTACAGTCTGAGGAGAATAGTGCTGCGGGGAGTTATCAGGGGACGTGGCTGATGTTCAATACTCAAGGAGAATAAGACAGTTACTGGTACCATCAGAATTGGAACCCTTTGTTTGCTGCTGAAGATGGTGATGGAGTGCTTATGTGAGTGTGCTCAGTACTATGATGTTGATTCTTTATTTAACATTCAATACCTGCTGTCAGATAGGGTTTATAAAAAGAAGCATACATCATTGGGATATTTACTCTGTTTATAAATGATCACTTTCATTGCACACAGAGACAGTGATACCTCAGTATACATTCTTAATCTTTCCAGATTCCTGGACATACGTCAGACAGGGCATATATGAAATGAATTTTCTCATAAGACATAAAGGGAGAATGATGAATTTGTCTTCGAGGCGAAGTGGTCAAGCCATTAGCCTCACCCTTTGAATGTTGTGCTTTCGTTTCACCACAGCACCGTTCAGCTCACAAGATCCCTGGTCATCATCCTTGGAGCTACCGAGTTCATGCTTTCTGCTGTGCTCTTAACAGGCGGTTAGCCATTGTGCGGAGACAGATTGAGCCATTAGGGATAAAAACTGGTACAATGAAGTTGACTTTCTCAACTTTAACCTTTAACTTTAATAAGGATGGGGTTGTATAAATTAATTTAAATTGCTTACTACTAAAATACGAAAGGAATTAGATGAAATAAATTGAAACCTAGCCCCTCATGTTACCTTGCTAGAAGAATTGAGTGCCTGCTAGGGTGGTACTGCAAAGGGAGGAGGAGGAGTCCCCTTCCAGAAAAAATCTTCAGGAATCTTAAATTCTGGTGTTGTACTTAGGTACCATTGTACCTCCATAAGGACTCCAGTCTTCTCTTCTTCCTTAAAGTCCATGCCATGTGGCGTTGGTGGTCGTGTCTATTCACAACCTTATGTCTTGTATACTTTCAATCAACTCTGACATAGTTGATCTTCCATGCCATGATGTCAGACTGTCTAGCATCTATTATCTCGGTCTCCCTCTGCCTCTCCTCACATGACCAAAGAATGTAGATTGTCTCTTTCTGATGTGAGCACTCAGTTCTCTTCGTGAGTCAGTTTATTTCAAGACATCTTCATTACTCTTTTTAGTCTTCTCCTACAGATCATAAAAGTAGATTTTGTGGTTATTCATGTATTTGGAGAGCTGTGGTGGTTTCCTGTTTAGGTATTCATCCGCCAGCCTGAAGATCTGGTTCAAACCTGCTTTGAGGGGGATTGTACTTCAAAATAGACTTTGGCTCCCAGGACTATCTGGTCTAAAATGAGTACCATATAATGTCCCGAGAATTGAAAGTGACCAGTATGATGTTGACCATATCACATCATGGATTGGCCCATAAAAACAGAAGTCTGACATGATTTTCCTGATGTGCTTAACCCTACCAGACCTGAAGCCCTGAACCTAACTGTCCCTATAACCTGAGCTCCTGGGCATTACCGCGAAAAAACCAAAATGATATACAAAAATATTAGTTACATGCAAATGAGTGGCTAGAATATGATGAAACTTGGAGACATTGTAGAAAATAGGCTTACCTTTTATCTAGCGCCAATATTCCACCTTTCTGTGCCAATTCACTCATCAGGATCGCTAGCTGTCTGCCCAGAGCGTCTCTCAAAGCATGAACTCTGTAGCTCCAGTGATGATCCCCAGGGATCTTCATAAAATTGCAGCCTTAAAATGAAACCTCACTCATCAGAACTTGAGGCTAATGGCTTGACCATTTCGCTTTGGAGACCCCTATTTCTGATTTCTGTATTCCCTCTATATTTTAGACTGAGCTTCTAATATAAATTATTCACCGTATGTAGAGTCTTCATATAGTTTCTGAAACATGTTTCTTCTAGAGACATCAAAGTAAACTATAAACACAACCTTGTTGAGGTCAACCACAAGACCAGAACAGCAACATTTGAAAACTTGGATGACAACAGTAAACAGGTGTACTTTCAGGTAAGTTGTTGTTAGGGTGTTTATTCTTTTGTCATTTTCTGCACCTTCTCTGGCTGTAAACTCCTGTGGAAAGTTCTTCTTCTTCTTCTTCTTTCGTTCGCCTGAAATAAGTTATCTATATCAGCAGTTTTGTCTCTTGTATAAATTTCACTGTCGTTGTTAGTTCATTCAGTGGTCCATAGAGTTTACATTCCACTGTTGTTCTTTCTGGCCAAAAGGTTTGCCTTAATGTGTCAAAATCGGTGCAGTCCTGGAGTACATGCTCTGCGGTCTGGGGCACATTTCCACAGGTGCACATGGCTGATACACCTATCTTGAATTTTGTGTACATGTGGTTACGTAATCGGTTGTGCCCTGTTCTGAGGCGGAAGATAATGACTTGTTCTGGTCTGTCCATAATAAAATAGTCGTCTTGTGCTGGGGCTGGTGGTTTCCTGATCGATTTAATGATTCTTTTCTTTTGGTGGTATGTGACTGGTACATCTGGCTGCTTTTTTGTCGCATCTTCCCCTGCCAGTTGATCAGCTTTCTCATTTCCAGGCACTCCACAATGAGACGGTATCCACTGCATTACGACTCTTCGCTGAACGCTGAGTTGTGTCAGCAGTGTTTGCAATTCTGGTAGTTTCCTATACTGGAGTGCTTCAAGTACTGATTTAGCATCTGTAAGCATTACCACATACTGTGAGCCAAGGTTGGTATTTAGCAGTTTCTCTGTAGCTATCTTAATAGCCTGGGTTTCTGCATCGTAGTTATGGCAGTACTTCCCGGTTGGTACGCTGGACTTATCCCTAGTACCATCTGGGAATTCGATGTACACTCCAGCACCACCATTTCTAACTGCACTTTCTGCGGACCCATCTGTATAGACTCTGACCCATTGTTCTTGTGGGTATTCTTCATCAATATAAACTGAGGGTGGCCATTTGCGTTGTACACTATCTTGCTCTTTCTTGTCAAATATCCCTTTCACATTTGTTTGGATTTGTACCGTTAGTTTACATTTTTCTCTCCATGGGGGTTGTTCCGGAATACTTTTAAGTGGGCAGCCAATTTCTGGAAGGTCAGGAGTTTGTCTACATATTCTTTTTGCTTGGTGTATAAAGCTGCTTCTTTTTAACCGTCCCAAGGCTAGGTTCTTAAATCTATTTTCCATCGGGTGATCTGGCATACTGAGGAACTTTTCAGCTTGTATTTGCAACTTTGTATCTCTGCGTTCTCTCAGTGCCTGTGTTTTCCCAGCTTTCTCCATTTCTAATATGGAGGTTGATTTCATCCCTCCTGTGATGACTCTGAGCGCTTGATTTTGCACTTTGTCTAACTCCTTTAATGTGGTACTAGATGCTGAACACCATGCAGTTGACCCATATTCCAAGTGTGGAAGTATGCTCTGCTTGTATACTTTATTGAGTATTTTCCCATCTGCTCCCCATGTGGTTCCACTTAGTTTTCTTAGTATTGCTGTCTTCCTCCTGGCTTTGGTTGCTGCCTTGTTGATATGTTTTCTCCATGTCAACCTGTCATCAAATGTGACTCCTAGGTATGTGGGCTCTTTATCATCTCTCATGGAAAGTTCTTATAGTTCGTCCAAGTCTTTTTCCAGGACTTGAGTGTTGTGTGCGCATTTATTTTACTGATCTGGCTAATTTGTGTTTAGACTGTTGGTTCCTCGCCTCTCAGGCAGATGCACTTTGACTTTGGAGGACACCCCTAATTAGTTAACTATTACAGCATGCTTGTTGGGAAGACAGTGGGTCTGTCAACCCCCCCCCCCCCCCCCCCACCCCCCACCCGCATTTTCTCCTCCCATTGTAGGGCCCTGGAACCCATATTTAAAAAAAAAAAATGTTTAAATGTGTGAGATTCAGCTTGGTTGCATTTTTTTTTTAAATGTGGCTCAGTCTCTCTGTGCAGAGCAGCTGTTTACCATTCAGTAGTAACACACAAACAGTGAAACTCTATGGCTCCAGTGACTATCCTTTTTTTTAACTTTTGAAACAGCTGCAATCATGAACTGAGAGACAGTCTTACAATGAACCCACTGCCTACATTGTATAAGACAAACTTTAATTATTTCACCAGGGAGACTTACACCCTTGTGTACTTTAGCCTGATCTACTGTAGTATGTCATTGTACTTTAACCTGATCTAATGTAGTATTGATACAAGAAGAAACTGGAAAATGTTTCCAATGTCATGACACAAAAGCTCAGCTGCTAAACTGCCATTACTGTCTGCATTGACCACTTCCGTGGAGTTCTTTAAGCCTGAGGATTTAGGGCTGCATGGCAAGTGCTGTCACTACCCCGAGAGAAAAACAATTCCAAACCTTATCGGAGATTAGAACCTAGATTTACTGCTTGAGGGCCTTGCATTCTCTCATTTTAGGACCAGAAGCATAGTGGTTTGTGCATCTACTTGCTGATTGAATGGTCTTGGTTTGATCACCTGAAGTGGCATGATTACTTTTCCACTAGCATGGCTATGAGGTTGAGTAAGTCTCATAAATGTTGGTGTTGGGTAGTTTACAGAATGTTTGGGAAATTGTTTGTGAAAGAGGACAAGCTGGCAGAGGGGTTACAGTGTCTGGCTCTCATGCAGGAGACCCAGGTTTTACCCCTGGTAAGGTGATGGCGTTTTCTGTTAGGGACAACCTGCACAGTCCATGGCGACAGCACTAGCCGTAGTCTGAAAACCTCAGGTACACGACTCCCCTATCTACACCACCCTAAAAAGTGGTACATAGAGACAGTCATGTCAGTTCAGTTTTTTTTTTTAGTGTGTGAAAGAAAGATGGCAAGAATGGAAATGGCAACCCTACCTTGAATGTAGGGCTAGAATGTGAAGACTGTTTTCATACCTCAGTGAAAAAATTTGCCTTAATTTTTATGATCTGGCCATGTTTCAGTACGACTTTCTTCACCTGACACCCCCGATGTCAAGTCCTGATGTTCTGAAGAAAAGTCCTCTGGCAAACGAAGGAGGCTGGGTAGATTTGCACAAACACACCCTGCAGCATGTCAAGTTCCCTAATGTCTTCGGTCTAGGAGATTGCACCAGCCTGCCCACATCGAAGACTGCAGCTGCAGCTGGTGAGTATGTTTTATTGAATGATCCTTATTTTCAATTTTCTGCTCATATATTTTTAATTCTCATCATCACCCTCTCACATGATTATCAGAATCATAAATCATTCTAATGCTTTTGCCTCACCCCATCCCTGTGGACAAGCCATTCAGATATTTATCTCCTTGCTGTCCCGTTGCTCTTTTTCCACCAGTCTTGCCAGTTGTAACCAACGTTTCAAGACCACTCCTTCTCATTGCATTTCCACAGATATTTACTGTCTTCATCTTACTTCTGTAATCAGATTAGGGTTTTCATCCCATGCTTTTTACTATAGAACTTCTAGAGAGGAGGCAAGAGGCAGACCAAGAAAGAATCGGATAAATGGGTTACCCGAAACCTGCAAAAGGATAGAACAGATTAATCACTTAAGCCACCTGTAAGCACTAGACAATACAGAAAACCGCAACACTGGTCTACAACCTGGTATCAGTGAGATGACAAAAGAAGACGAAAGATCGAATGATTATTTTTGCTTTCTTCTCTGTAACCGCATCAGTTTTGCCACTAGATGTTTTATTTTGGCTTATTGTCCACATTTCATATGCATATAACAACACAGATGTTTGAAAAGTGGTATTGCTGTGGTGTAAAGATATGTATCCACAGGAGACATGAATGATAGGGGTTTTGAGATAGAGACCTGGGAACAAATTGCTGTAGACTTGCATGAAGGGGGAAAATCAGGAAGAGTATGATAAGAAAAAAAAACATTGCAGATAGGTTGAAAATCTGAGTGTCTAATAAATGTAATACAAGTGATGGCAACAGTAGTTCTGAAATCCCATTCTCTATTCGTGGAAGCTTCTTAACTCTTTGAGTCCGAAGGAACGCATCATATGTTCATAGGTTCCTACCTAAAAGCCCAATGAACGCATGATGCACTGATTTCATTACTTTCTTTACTACACCCTGGGCCTGTGATGCTAAACCCCCTGGGACTCAAAGAGTTAATACTGGTTGGTTTGCTAGTCATACTCATCCGTGGGCTGTGTTTCCCATGTCCTCCCATCCCCCATAGTTCATTAGATGTGAACTTTAAAAAAAAATATTATTAACTATAAAATGATGTATGAATGAAAAATTGTATGCAAGGGGTGGACTTGAAGGGGAGAATGTTAGACGGGCCTGCGTGCCCAGTTCTTAACCTTTTTAAAATTAAGTTCGTTTGTTCATTCTTTCATTATATCACTATTGTCTAGAAAGATAGAAAGGTGTCAAATAACTATACTGACAGTAACTAGAATTTTGAAATATGTACAAACATTTGTAAGGAACCCTACCCCTGTTTGTACTGTAAGCAGGATTGACACTAAAAGTATTGAGCAAGTGATTTTTTTATTTCATTTCCAGCTTCCCAGTGTGGGATTCTTCACAAGAACCTGTCGGCAGTCATGTCTGGGAAGCCGACTGTACCACTGGTAATTATCTTCAAGTCATTCACCATGTTTCCGGATTTAAGAGGCCTATCCTTGTGTTCAGCCACTTGCTTAATCTTCTTGTTAACCCTTTTAAGGCTAGAGGGACATTACATATGCCGAGCGAATGCCAAATCAAGCCATATCATAAACCCTAGCAACATAGGAGAGGTCCAACCGCCTAAGGAGGCATGAATGGCAAGGGAAGTTACTCTGCTCCTGGGCTTTGAAACGTGAACCAAGCATGTTATGTTTATCTCAAAATATACAAAATAAATAGCCAGTTTAAAAAAAAAAAAATCATGCTAAATGCATGCAACTAGACCCTGTCACATACCGCTCCTGTCACGTGCCTGATTTAAGGATTTCTCCTTAAGAACCACAGCACTCTGAAATAATAATGTTGAGTCGTTGGCTCGTATTGGTCTAAGGGATATCCCATGGCCAATATACGCTCAACTTATTTCAGGAGTAGGGCAACTCAAGCTTTAGCACTACAAAATATATAATATTCTTAGGCACACTTGGCTGGACACCCCCACTACTATAAAAAGGTAGCCCCCAGGTTATGATAGTATACTATCATAGCCATGTTAACACAGATAACACTTATTACTCACACAAACATAAAAGCTAGACAGAATTGTGAAACAGGGACACCCAAGTCAGCGATGAAAATTTCTGCATGTAATAAGTACAATACATATACATATATTAATGAATAGATAATCAAGAGTGTTCAGTGAATGGAGTTCAGGAGTTAATGACACAACCCAGATGTTGAAGCAGCCAGATGTAGTTCCTGGACATTACATCAGTTCATCATAGGAATCACAAGGAGCTGTGGGAAATGAGCATGTCTATGAATAAGAAATCACTTATCCCAGTTCGTAGGTCAATGCTCCCCTCAGTCCATGGTGATTCGACTGTAGTTGATTCAATAGGTACCTATGCCTCTATTTGATCTGGTACAAGCTGACTGTTTCACAAGTGAGGACACAGGAACCGCATAGGAGCCCAACAAAGCTCTTGAAGATTGTGGTGCCCACTGACTGTCTCACAGGTGAGGACACAGGAACTGCATAAGAGCCCAACAAAGCTCTTGAAGACTGATTCTCTGGATTGATGACATAAGTGTCTGCAATTGTCCACCAGTCCTGAAACTCACAAACAAGCTCTTGCCATGTTGAGGTAGTGGCAACAATAGGTAGGACTTTTGGGTATGCCTGGTGCCCAGAATGGTATGGGTTGGTGGTTGTTGGCTGGACTGTGATTCGTCTGTCTGATCTCTAAGGATGTATCATCCTGTCAGGAAAGAACTCAGAATTAGTAATCAACCTTATTCACACACCAGCTCAACCCACACTCTGCTACCCTTCTCCATTCCTCAGAGTGTAACTCTCAAGAACAGGAGACAATGTCTCCTTTCATTTATCTGTCTGTAAATTAGTACACCAGATAGAAGACAAGGTATATAGTGGAGATAGATAGACACTACCACACATATATCATCCTCTCTCCACCCTCACATCTGCACTCTCAGACATACAATGTATACAGTTAGTACCTATATATATTTCACGTCTCTACAGGCTGTTCACTACACACCCCTGTTTCTGTGTCAAACACACCTTTGCCTCAGAGCGTCTAGCTCTGACGTCACAGCAGTTAACTGTTAAAAGATGACCCAGATTCCATATTTCTGCTAGGAGGCACAAAACTTTGTTTGTCTGGTCCGAGAATAATTACTTGTAGGGTTTAATATCTTTACAAATGGTGTGGGTTATGTAGAGCACAAACTATTTAGTCTGCACAGGGAAAGGTTTAATGTTCAGAGTCTGATCTCTGGACATCAAGAACGGCCCAACTCTGTGCGATCACACAGCTGAATCTTCCCTCTCTGCAGCCGTGGCCAACTTTAAAAAGACACATATTATGGTACTCGTGAACTATAATCAACTTACCCAAGCTTAGGAATTCTTCAAAGAGAGAACAGGTACTTTGAATGTGCCAATTTCATTCATAGACTGTATACACGTCTTGACACTTTGGAGATCAGGCGAAAGAATGCCGCTCAAAACTGCGCTTGGCGTCTCTAGGAAAGAAGTCCCTGTATTCATGCCCTAGGAGTAAACAGGCTTACAGGAATTTCTGAATTAAACACCAGAAATCTTCAGCCCACAGTTGCAAGTTTGAAAATGAAGATTTCTCAAAGCAACTAGAGGGTCTAGAAACGAATATTTCACCAGATAAAGGTATATATCAATATAAGGACTATATACCCCTCCGGACAGGTTTAAATTTGAAATATGACGTGCCCGCTAGGAAAGTCAAGAGTCCCGACTCGTCTATCGTGTAGGGTTGGCTGTTCACTCCACGACAGACCCTCTGTTCACTTCCAGCTATATCAGTCTCTTTCAGATATAGATCCTGTGTTCTGTAAATGATCTTACATTTGTCCAACTCTCATTGCCTCCCCAGTATGATGGCTACACCTCCTGCCCTCTAGTCACCAGCAGTAAACACTGTATCCTGGCAGAGTTTGACTACGAAGGCCAGCCCCTGGAGACCTTACCTTTCAACCAGGCAAGGGAGATGAGGTTGATGTACAACATGAAGGCCCATCTGCTGCCTGCTTTATACTGGAACGGCATGCTGAGGTTTGTATTGCTCACTCTGTTTACCGATTAGGAGCGGCTGGAAGAGCGATTACAACATCGTGTTCTCAGGCGGAAAACCTGTGTTCGACCACCAGTAAAGTGATGGAGTTTTTCTGTCAGGGGCAGAATTAAACATCCTGAACCTGTACAATCTGTGGGACAGCACTAGCCATGCAGCCCTAAATCCTCAGGCTGACGACCCCCTGTCTACACCACCCTAAAAAAAAGTGTTACATACAGACAGTAGTGACAATGAGACCGATTAAAAAATTTAAAGTCATAGCATACTGGGCATGCTTATAGATACTCATTCTTCTATAGCAAATGTTTTAGATGTAGATACTGATTATTTCAGTAGCACTGGTTGTACACAATGTTCTCTCCTATTTGTCCTTTTTGACATCTTTGTAGCGATCACTGGCTGTAAAGCCTTGGTGCTTAAACAGAGTGTCAACTGGGAACATAAAGAAGGGGAGCGTTCCATTATGAAGTAAAAATCAACCCAAACAAGAAGCAGAACTAGTTGCCTTCCTGATAAAACAGAATCACAAATGATAGTTGATGCTGCAGCCCAAGAGCCTTCATCAGCAAACCACATCACAAACAGAGATGATACTTCTTCTTCTCTAGTCATCTACTGCCTTTCAGCGTCAGGTTTTGAAGAGGCATCAGATGAGAGCCTTGGTATGGGCTAAGTAGACGCTCATATTTATGGCCTGGGGTATTTCGTCTGTCCATCGTTTGCATAGTTGACCTTTGGGTCTGTTTCCATTATATCTAAGTGACAGAGCTTTTTGCTGTGCACTGTCTGGTGGTAGTCTTGATCTGTTGTTTCTTGATTTCATTCCTGTTGTATCAATTTTGTTCCCTTTATATTTTGTTGTTTATGTCCACATTTGGTTCTAAAAACACAAAGTACTGTTTTTAATTGTGCTAGAAAATATTAAAAGTTTTACAGCTACATAAAATAACAGCTATTTTGTAAAGAACTGGTTTACTCATTCAGTACCACTCAGCTTGCTATGAGTTTGTTTCACCTGATATAATCATTTTTCTGAATGGGACAGACCTCAAGCAAGCTGATATGTTTAACTACTTGGCTACCCTGGTAACATCAGATGGAAGATATATAAAAGAAGTAGAATATGTATAAATGTAGAACAGCTCAAGCAAAGGCAGCTTTTTACAAAATTAAGAATATTTTATGCAATCTTTCTTTGTCATTGAGAAAGATAATTCCTAAAAGGTATATAAATTATATCTTGATATATAGAAGTAAGTCATAGACAATTGGTAGATTTATGAAAAGCTATTTAGAAGCTGCAGAGATGGTTATAAACAAGCAATGGGTATAACCTGGACAGATAAAAAGACTAATGGAGATGTCTTAAAAGAAATTGACTCATGAACAGAACTCATTGCCCACATCAGAAGGAGACAATCTACATTCTTTGGTCATGTGATGAGGAGAAAACTGGAGTACATCGTGACAGTAGGAAAGTTGGAAGGGAGGAGAGGCAGAGGGAGACCCAGAGAAATAATGCTAGACAGTTTAAAATCATGGCATGAAGGATCATCTGTGTCAGAGTTAATTAAAAGTACACGAGACAAAAGAATTGTGGGTAGACATGACTATGGTATTGCCACACATCATCGACTTTAAGAAAAAAGAATCAGTTTTCTGAAGTCCTTGTGACCCATCCAATTGTTACACCAACTCTCTTTGTTCTAGTTTTTAGTTTTGTTAACTCGTTTCTGTTAACTCCTTTCATCTCAAGATGTTATAATTGTAATGCAATAACTGTGTGGCTTAACGGGACCCTATTTTGGGAGGAAACTATAACAGACCCACTACCTTCTTATCAAACATATCATAAAAGGGACTTTTTCCTAATTTGTATTTCAAAGTTGGGGCACATCTGCCTGAGAGGCAAAGAACCAAAAGTCTGCTTACAAACAAGCAGATCTATAAATTCATGATTTGGAACAAGACTGAAGTTCAGAAGTGGATAAATAACCAAAATTTCCTGCAGGAGTGTACAGCCGCTCAGCGTTAAAAAGAAGAATAAGAATAAATTAATTCTTTCAGTCCCCAGTAATGTCCGGTGTGTGAATGCATCTACCTCTTGATTCCTCTCCACAGCATAATGCTCTCTCTTAACCATGTATATTGCCACCTTGAAAATTAGGCATTCATGATTTGGCATCATGATAATTTTGTCACATTGGTGTAACCTGTCAAACTTTCTGATGTTGAAAATGTTTAGACAAAATGTTTATTAGTTAAAGAAATCATCATCATCATGTAGCATGTACTTTGCAGACTATCATTCGCATCCTAGCATGCCAGAAAGCCACTCAAACACTCTCTGTGCCTTCCTCTTGCTCTCTTTCCATCAATCTTGCCAGTAAGTTCTCGAGTCCATGTCCAGAAAATATTGACTGTCTCCGTCTAATTGTTCTAATAAGTTTACTGCTTTCATCTGTCTCGATGAGGATTACTTCATTTGGTTTTCTAACCTTCCATCATTTGTGCTGTGAGTAAATGTTTTTTCAGTTATGAATGCACTGTAAACTGTTCATGTACATTGCAGGGGTAGATGGAATGGGCCATCATTTGTGAGGAAACTCCTGCATTTAGGATTGGGAAGGAAGCCAAACCTGCCCTCAAGCTGAAGACATTGTCTCAACTCATGTGTCAACAGTGTTGTGAATCTGTTATAACCTGGTACTGATTTCAGTGTGATTTGTTTTTTTTCGTTTAATTGATAATCACTGGAATGTTTAAATTTATGTGAAGATTTCGGTGATAATCAAGTGAGGGTGTGAAAGTATTTGATGATTGTATTGATAATCCAGTGAGTCAATGCAAGAATGGGATAATTGATTGATAATCAAGTAATACTTCTAGAATGCGAAGATTTAACTGGTAATCAAGTGTGACTTCTACTGTGATAAGATTTAATTGATAATCAAGTGAATGTGTACACTTATGTAAAGAATTTATTAATAATCTAGTGAGAGCACAAAGGAAAATTATATGAAAATTTTATTGCTAATCAACTGAGTACGCAAGTCTGTGAACATTTAATTGATAATCTAGTTAGTGTATTACAAACTGTCCTGTGCTACCATTTTGACTCATAAAATATTCTGAATACCAGAAAAAGCTTTCAGAAGTTTAGGCCTTCTCACACATCAAGCCCCGATTGGTCTAGGAAATTAATTGGGCTAGGGCCATATACCTATAGTGCCGTAAAGGGTCTGTTGCTGTTTGCCCTGCCATTTGGGTATATTGCAGGTGTTTTATCTGTTATATAAATAAAAAATGTCATTTTAGGCTCACTGAAATGTCGTTATAACAATTTCTACTGTTTAACCAATTGTGATACTATGTTGTTTATTGCCAGATCTCATGTAACCATTTATTCCGTTTCTTTTATTTCATCATAACATATATTTCTCATATCAATGGTTCACTCTCTGTTGGGAAAATTCTTCAGTGGGAAAGAATTGAAAGGTTCCAGGGGGGAATTCTTTAAGAGGGAGATCAAAAAGGTTTCAGAACATATTTCTTCCCTGAGGAAAATTTACAAGGTGTCAGAGAGGATTTCTCTCCTGTGGGAGATTTTAAAGTTTTGAGAGGAGAATGTTTCCTAGGTGACATGTTAAATCTTCCAGAGAGAATTTTTCCTTAAAAGAGATTTCAAAGGTTGCAGATAAAAATTTTCATTTTGAAGAAAACAACGAGCACATAACATGTATGAAATGCTGATCATATGTGGAATTGCTAGTCAGTAAACGATTAGTTGACTGGTATGCATTAATTACTTTTTTTTTTTTTTTTTTCAGGAATGCATAAAAAGATTACATAGTTGCTTAGTCTGTAATTATTGTTTTTTTGGGGGTCAAACTGTGGGAGTTAATGTGTTAGAACATTGCATAAAAAATGTTAAAACAGTGGCAAAAATATAATACAATATAATTGGATAAGAAATGTTTGTTAAAATGTAACCTAAACAGTGTTATTGAATGTCTAAAATGTATTAACTAGTGCCAGTAATGGGGAAAGCAAGATGTAAAAAATCAATGCAGCACACACAGAATGGCCGCTTAACTCTTTGAGTCCCAGGGGCTTAGCATCACAGGCCCAGGGGTAGTTAGGAGTCATAAAATCGGCACATCTTGCATTTATTGGGCTTCTAGGTAGGGAACGTATGATGCGTTCTGTGGGACTCAGAGTTCAGACTATATAGGTAGACTCTTCTGTCTTTTGAACCTTACTTTTTCATTGTTGTTGTTTTGGTATTTTCCTGACCATAACATACGACCTATTCTTCTGTATATCCTTCAGAGACTCAGGTCAACGTAAGCAGTATTATTCATCATGAACATCTTCCTGTTGTGTGGTTTGTACATCACTTAAGGCTTTTATTCTGTGTCTCCATATTCTGTTTTGTTCATTCCTTTTTTTTTTTTTCAATTGTAGATTGAAACAATTCCAGCACCTTTGTTCTTTCTCAACAACATTTGTCTTAGGGTTACTCTTGGATGTCCTTACTGCCACACTTTTGTTTGTGTTCCATTTCAGTACTTGTTTTCTGATTCTGTCTAATTGTCCTTTCTGTGTGCTGTAGATACAACCATCTTCTTAGTCTTATAACAGTGCCAGACATTACTTTACCTGTCTTGAATTCAGTCTATCTTCAACAGTATGTCACCATCTCTGGATTAGGTGTTGCGAACAGGATTCATAACGTTCGGGGTGATGGGTTTGATGCCAGCTGTGAACAATTTGTTTTGCATTGATTTTGACAGTGGTACCGGGAGCTGACCGTTCAGCAGCAATAGCAAAAAAACTGAACGTAAAATTTGCCTAGAAAAACCACAACAGCCAACAAAAATGCTGGGGTTGGTTCTGCAACGTTCTGTAAAAGATAGCAGCTGACTTTTTTCTTTTTTTAATTACTATCCACTGGAATTTTTTTTGGTGGTTCACATTTCTCAGAAATTTGTGAGAAATTAAATTACATGTGACCCTGATGGTTAGGATACATGCCAGGGGTGTCAGTCACATAAGATGTTTTGTTTCGAACATTTAATTGACAAATCACATTGATTGCTTTCAAGACATTTAGGACAGCAGATAGTTTGCCATGTTTACATAGATTTTCTTGTGAGAGACTGTTATTTGTTAACAGTTTGATCATGGTTTATCTGTTAACTGTTTGACCGTTGTTTATTTGTTGACTGTTTGTAGATAATTTTTATTTGATCACTTCTGTAAAACATATCAATAAAAGGACAGTTTTATGGCCAACCCTGTTTCATGATGGAAGTTATAATGCTGCAGTGCTAGTTCACACTACAAGCCATTTAGAGTAGAGCAGTGATTCCCAAACTGTGCAGCACAGGGAGCTGTGACCTTTTCACAGGGCCGCAGCGAAATATTGGAAGATATATGAGTTTTATTTTATTTTTTTATCTCTTACATACGAATAGTCATATTTTTACTTTGGATAGTTCGCCGTAGAAAAATTTTCATTGAAAAAAGGCACCGTGACTAAGACAAGTTTGGGAAACACTGGAGTAAAGTATAAAGTACATTGCTCACTGGAGGCAGCTTGAATTAGCTCAGAGAGGCAGAGTTTCCATGCAGACATTTTACACATTATATATCAGTATATTTGAAGAAAGCCTGTTCCCATGGCTCCATGACTGGCATAAGAGTAGCACCACAGAAATGATTGGAGCCTCACCAGATCAGAGACAACAACTGCAGTCAGACCCCATTGTAGAGATTGCAGCACAAACAAAAAAAAAAAGATATTTGAAAAATAATTTGCAGCTTTAAAATTAATTTTGTTCCAGGATTTTGAGTTTAGCATGCACATCCATAGATGCAGTTTTTGTGTGTGCAGACTATTGGTACCTTGCCCATCATTTGGGGGGAGGGGGTGGATAGTGGGTCTACCCCTTCCGCCCTTTTTTATCCTTTTCCGATGAAGTCCCAGGACCAACACAGGAAAAATTAACAATGTAATTGAAAGTTGTATATAAAAATTGTTTTGTTAAATGCGAGACATGGAAAGTGAACAGACAAGATGAATAAAGCCAACTGGCAGCACAGGTTTTTTTTTTTTTTGGGGGGGGGGGGGGGGGGGGGGGGGTGAAAGCTGCAAAAGAATATGCAAGGATGAAAACAAAAGAGGTTGCTGCAAACAGATTGAAACTGTAAACTGATTAGAGAGATGAGATTTAGATACAATATTTATTAGGCATATTATAAGAAAGAATGGAGTCAGAGATGAACTTGGAAAACCATCCCGAACAGAAATGGACAATTTACACAGATGGAGGCAAAGATAAAAATGGGGGTGTGGAGCTTTATTAACATACCCAGGCAACCACCGCCACACGAAGTGGAAACCCACTGATAAATTCTGTTCCAACTGGATGGCTTGTTGTACATGGGCAGGCTGTCGAAATGTACACGACCAGTTCTGAATGCCACCAAGTGGTTTGTTTACATGGGAGCTTTCAGTAACGAAGCCCTCAAAGAGATGAATAACCTCACTTGAGATCTAAACTTTACATGGGAAGTGCCCAAAGTGTAAGTAAAGAGAGTGGGTGCCATCCCAGTGCTTGTTTACATGAAACGAGTCGCAGTACCGAAGTAAAAAAGGGGCAGAATGACCAAGAAGGAATGCTAAACATACATGAGAAGAAAAGAGTCTCCAGGTATCAGAAGTAACAGAGTCTGAGATAACCTGGGTGGCTTGTTTACATGGGCAAGTCTTGTCCTACGTCTCAGTACAGGACATAACAAACTAACCAGCATATGCACATGGCTTCGTCTAAGTAGTTCACCTTTTTGCCCTTGTGGGCTACCTGGGTGCTTGTTTACATGTCCTGGGATGTCCCTTGTTAGCCCATTAAGAAAAGAATACTGGCCCAGTGAGTCACCACTGTACACAAAGTTGTATGGGACTAAAAATGAACTCATTAAAACAGTCAAGTTTATCACAAGAACCTGTCTGTCGGTGTAAATCAGAAAGCGAACACAAGAAGAAGAAGAAGAAGTAAAACTAATCTCCTCATACTAACAAATGTGTAGATAGGAGTCACCAAAATTGATTTGATTTGAAGAAGTTGCTAAGTTCAGCGCAAACTATGAACTATGAATCCCATCTCCCAATGTGGGACGCAGTTTTTGGTTATTTGAAAGTCTCACCCTGGCTGTAGTCTGGGGCCCTACGATAACCAAATGGTTGAATGGGGTTTCTGACACTTCTGCCCAGGAAATTCTGATCTAAGTGGTTGCACTTTGTGTCACCATGTGTTGATCGCTCCTTGTACGGTCCTGGTAAGGTTGAACGATACACACAACACAAACCAGGATTAGAAAAAAACACTGTCCATTTTAGAGTGGGTTTAACCTAACCATTATTTGGTCTAGAGGGGATGAAACCTGATAATTTTCTGTGCAAGAATGGTCTCAACCAGCGCTATTCAACTCAGTTTACTGAGGGGCCAACATTTGGAAAATGAGGATCCTTACGGGCCAGAGGGCTAAACCTTAGCGTAGAAAAATCATTTTATAAAATACAACTAGCATTGATCCGCGGGCCCCTTGCTAGGCCTCTGCGGGCCAGATTTGGCCCGTGGGCTGCCAG